TTTTGGTTTAATAATATAACATTTTATAAAGATAATAATTAAGTATTTTGTTAGAACTCAATGATTATCATAATTATATTTTAGATTTTTTATATTTAAATAAGATGTTTATCCTATATTTGATTGTATTTATCTGCAGTTAGTTATACGAATTCAGATATAAAGCTTTAATAAATAATATACATTAATAAGCAGTACTTTACGCATAAAAAATGTTTTTTAAGAGTTTTTGTCAAATGATTTATAATATAAAATATTTTTTAATATACAATTTATTTTTGGTTTAATATTATAAATTTTATAAAGATAATAATTAAGTATTCTATTAGAATTTAATGATTATACTAATTATATTTTAGATTTTTTATATTTAAATGAGATGTTTAACCTGTATTTGATTGTGTTTATCTGCACTTAGTTACACGAATTCAGATATGGGATGAAATCGGATAGGGATGAACGAGTTTAAAAGTTTGTAAGAGTTTTAAGAGTTTTTAAGAGTTTTAGCTAAATGCTTTATAAGATAGTATAGATATTTTTTTGTGTAATATTTTTTTATATGACAGTGACGTTGATGGCTATTTAAGTCTCCAAGAGAAGTGGAAACTTGAGACCGCAAAAATTGAAGAGTAAGACCAGGTTCTTGGAACCTACAAACCACGTCTATATACATTGTATCTTCAACTTGTATGTTTGGAGTCCAAGTAGTTTTGAGAAAACAGGTCCAGATTCATCAACTCATTACATGTACAATAAATAGAGAGAGAGGCGGCATAGCAGGTTTATTTTACAAATTACGTTATTTGTATAAATCATATAAATCTCATTCAATCAATCATAATTTTTCATTTTGTTTATTTTTTTGTAATTATGAGAGGTTGATTAATCATTTTTATTGTGGATGGTGTTAATCATGAATATTATCATTTTCATTTTTTATAGAGAAATATATGAAACAGTTTTATTAAAATTTCATTAAGTATTATATGAAACAATTAATAGTCATATATGAAATAATTTCATCAAAAAAATATTATATGAAATAATTTTATGAAAAAATTTCATAAGATTAAACAGTGAAATTGAAGGATGGGGGTGGTTTGCAAAGTTTATACAAATTGAGTGGTTTGCATTTAATCGTTCATCTCTCTCTCTCTCTCTCTATATATATATATATATATATATATATGTGTGTGTGTGTGTGTGTGTGTGTGTGTGTAATCTTTTGTTAACCTTACAATTTGTGTTAACTATACAAATCAAAATGTTCCAATAGAAATCCATATTAGTTCATGGTTAATAGTTTATTAAATATTAAAAAAGTTGGAATAAATTATTAAGAATATGTTTACAAAATATGAAAATTACATTGTTCCTAAAATTTGGCTCTTTTCAAATTTGTATGTGTGTTTAACATAT